CTCTGGGTGTGCGGGCCAGGTCCCTCCGTTCAGACGAGGTTGACGTTGCAGTCGTAGTGCGCCGAGTCACCTCAGAATGCCATGCAGCCATAGCCTTGTCGTAGTTGAAGCAGTGAGTTCTTACCTTTCAACCACGCATCGCAACCAAATCCACCGCCGCTCGTCTTCCTTTGGAAATGCGTCTTGCACAAAGCGCATGACATGGATAGGCTGCCATGGTCGTAGTCCAGCCAGGGTCGACCTTTCTTCCAAGAGTCTTGGAAAGCGTGAGTTTTTTTTTCTCTTCGCTGCGGGCTCCATCGTCCAAATCACCAGTCGGCTGAAAACTTGCAACTGTGTCAAAAGCTTTAGCCAAAGTTACGCTTTTGACTACCTGCCCCATCGACTTCCTGCGTGATGCCCTGACTTCCTGCTCGCCGCTGGCCAGATCGCGCTCGAACCAGTTGACCCCAGTTGACCCTAGCCGAGTTTCTGTCGCTTGTACTGTAGACTGTAGTGTGTACAGTTGCGCTAGATTTGCAACAGATGGGGTCCGCGAGTCGTAAAATACCGGTATTTTAGGAATCCATTGTCAGTTTGAGACATTTTTCAGCCGGGTCAGACTGGACCCAGTGTTATCTGTTCAGCCAGGTCGTGCAGTTCCCCAGCCGTGCGCGTGACCCGGCTGACCCGGCTCTCCAGCAGGCCCTGCTCCGTGCCGCCATTAAGGCAAAGCACGATTTCTACAGTGTGTATAAGAAATACCCAACCCAGCTTAACATGCATGTATATCGATCTCAACGGAACTTGGTGAAGAGTCTGACTCGATCGAAATACCGGGGATACATTTGGTCCGTACAAGCTACGCTGCAGGACAAAAACCGCCCATCACTGTTTCAGTACGTGAACAAATTAAAAAATCATAAAGTATCTCGTGACATCCCGACACTCACCATTAGTTCTACGCAGCAGGCTACTACCTCTTCAGCTAAAGCCACTGCATTGAACTCTCAGTTTGCCTCAGTGGCCGTGCCTGATGACCCTTCTCTACCCATTCCCCCCATTGCCGAGGAGTCGGGTGAGGTTGACCGTCTCACATCTGTCTTTACTACGACTGCTGCCATTCGACGTTACATTCGAAAGCTCCCGTCTGACAAGGCTCCGGACCCAGACGGCATCACTAATCTGGTATTAAAGTCCCTTGCGCCCTCAATAGCATACCCCTTATGTCTGATTTTCAACCTATCATTCCGCACTGGTCGTTTTCCCTCTGCATGGAAAACAGCTAATGTTATACCGATCTACAAGAAAGGGTCCCGCCACGAAGCATCAAACTACCGTCCGATATCTCTACTGTCCTGTGTTTCCAAACTCTGTGAGCGCGTTTTCTACGACCAATTGTACTGTCATGTCTCGTCACGTTTGAGTTCAGCTCAGTCCGGATTTCGCAGAGGCGATTCTACCACCCTCCAGCTGACGCGCCTGGTGCAATTAGTGTGTCGACATCGGGATGCTGGAGATCTAGTCGGGATCTGTTTTTTCGATCTTGCCAAGGCCTTCGATACCGTCTGGCACCGGGGGCTTTTGGCCAAGCTTCGTGGATCATTTACTGTAGACGGCAATCCCCTGCTATGGCTGACATCTTACCTAACTGGGCGAACGCAGTACGTCACGGTACATGGGACGTCCTCGGCCGACACAACAGTACTATCCGGAGTTCCCCAGGGTTCCATCCTCGGCCCCCTTCTTTTTATTTTATACGTCAATGATCTGCCCGCAGCTGCCCCGGGCACATCACTGTTCGCAGATGACACAACGCTCCTACGGGCATCTCCTAACATCACTGGCCTGATGAGTAACCTAGCTAACGGGATTCAAAGAGTTATTTCCTGGATGTCGTCTTGGCGGTTATCGCCCAATCTGTCTAAAACTAAAATCATGCTCTTTCCTTCTCAGCCCGATGTTCCGCCCCTCCTCCATCCCACTTTCCCCCAGCCTATAGACATAGTCTCCAGCCATAAGCATCTTGGCATTTTCATTGACTCTAATCTTTCATGGGAACCCCACATCGATTACATAATATGTAAACGATCAAGTTCATCTTTAGGAATTCTCTCTCCTCACTGTTACCATCTCCCAATCTCTTGTAAACTCCTCTTTTACTCAGCTTACTTACGCCCCATTTTTGATTATGCAGATACTGCTTGGGCTGGAATTTCCACAACCCGTGCTGCCAAGCTCGAGATTCAACACAAAAACGTTCTCAAAATCCTCCTCCGAAAACCCCGCATGCTTCCATCTTCCACCCTTTATGCCCTTGCTGACACTTCCCCTTTGTCTAAGAGACGTAATTCACATCTTGTCACCCTTATCCATTCTCTCAAACTCAATCTGTGTCCACCTCACCTCCACTGTTTCAACTGGTTCTCTTCCCGTAGCACGAGAAACTCCCTTTCCCTTCCGAAACCTAAGTCCTCCTTTCTACTTCACTCTCCCTTTTTTATTGCGTACTCTGCGTGGCTGGCACTTCCCCAAGAAGCTAAGGACCTTTCTTCCCTCCGCCTTTTTAAGAGCCTTGTCGCGCCTTGATTTTGATTTTGTGTTTCTGATTTGGTTGCAATCACTGCTTATCCATGCCGGTTCCTTTTTCTTCTCCTCCCCTTCTCCCTGCCTTGCCGTGGTTGGCTAACACCCTCTCTCTTTGTATTGGCCGGTGTTCTCACTGTGCCATGAGATGCTGTAATAAATAAAATGAACGCTTCCACGACAGTTCGCAGAAAACATTTTCGACGAACGACTGTTCGACGAATCCTGTTCGTCCCCAAGCCATTTCGTTGACTGGTCCATCAGGTGACTGTCCTTTTCGACGTGTGAACTTCTCGCCGAGTGACAGGTTAGACTAAAGGTATTTTCATCGACAACCTTTGTCGAGGCGTGGGATTTTCGTCGAATGACATGGAATCGACCTCTAAATATACTGTACCTAACAAAACCAAATGAAGTGAAAGGGAAATGTGCAAATGGAAGGCGAACATGGGGCGAGGACACAAACAAGTGAGAGCGAAAGCTTTCGATGGCGTGAGCGTGGTGGTGCAATTCTAACAGATGGATCAAAACAAAAACTTTATTACATATAGGTGCCAACAGGAGATGTCATTGACTACTTTGAAGTTCTGGACAGCAATGCCCCCGATGCCCTGGGTCCGCTGTTGAACTACTTCGAAGAATACTACATCAGCCGACTTAGGCAGAACGGCGAGCGTAGAACCCCTTCGTTTCCTCCAAAGCTGTGGAACGTGCACGAGCGGACGCTAAAACAACGACGACAGGACCAACAACAAGATCGAGGGTTGGCATCGCCGTTTCTCTTCAACCATTACATGTAGTCATCCGATTATTTGGAAGTTCCTTGAGGGAGTGAAGACAGAGCAAAAGGCAACAGAGAACACGCTCGAGCGTCTTGTTGCAGGCGAGGCACCGCCCAAGAAACGTACCAAGTACCAACATCGCGACACATGGCTGAGAGCACTGGTAAGCTCATTTGAAGGCAGACCATCACTGGAATTCTTGCGCGGAATTGCCCACAACCTGTCATATCCAAATGTGTGAGGAGAATCCTGACAGAAATCCTTGTTTGTTTGCTCCATCATCAAGGAGCAGGAACTACATAGCTAGGCTCAACGTTGTTCAGAATCTCATAGCATTCTATTGCCTTCAAGCACGTGTTATCTGATCCAAATCTCCACGATGTAATTGTTGATAGTTTACAATGATCCTTCTTTGCTTTCTCTGTTTCCGCCTCACAACATGGCTATGTCCCTTCATTTTCATCTATGTTTTACACCTGTATGTGTGCACTGGATACACCACTTCATCTAAATCAAAGTTCCTATAGCCTAGGTATGAGGTGCTTCTGAAGCATGGTTTGAGTCAGGGAGTAGTACAATACCGTGTTGTACTACTCCCTGGTTTGAGTGGTTGTCCAATTGGCCAACAGGCCAGGCGATGAAAAGACAACTCGTCTAAGGGGGGAGTCGACGAAAAGACCAGTCGTCGAACAAGGTTGTCGGCCAAAATGTCAGACGGCGAAAAGGGCTGTCGGCGAACGGGGTTGTCGTCGAACAGGTTGTCCGCGAACAGTCGTGACACCAATCATGTAAAGCGACAAACTTTCGCAGCGCGCAAATTTAGCGTTTTCATAAATTGGGCTGGTTCACGATGAGAAACTTTTGCGATTCTATCTCTTCAGTCGGATCTTGTACTGTCTACAATCAATGTACGGCGAGGTTTGCGGCGATTTATATTCGCGAATGTGTAATGGTCGCGAAAATAGCGAAATTTAATCTCTAGTGAAAGTTTCTCCCTTTACAGTATGTACTGGCGGTCTGGCGCGTTCCTTTTGTGCTGTAATACAATACTCATTGTAGTACTAACACTTAGCATTACCGTACACTTCACATGTATATGTACAATGTATACAGTAACACCACCCGCCAACGACATTCACACCTAGCTCAGTAGCTGTTCGTAGTCTCCTGTCAAGCTCAAGAAAGCGCTTTGCGGCCCATGCCCCAGCACACACGCACGGTCTGTCTGTCGATCCACTGACAAAGTGACAGTGACAACACACAGACTCGTAGTCTATTCTACAGATCTGCATGGTATACGTATACCTTGTAGTCCACACACGTACACCAGCCTACTTGTCATACACAATAATAACGTCATAAGATGATAAGGGCACACGTATACCATGTATACAGACAGTACAGAGACAGTGCAGACTCAGTGTACAACGTAGGTCCTAGCCTGTGGCTGTGCGGCATTGTAGGCAGTAGATCTGGAGCAAAACCAGTACCACAGTACTAGTAATGGCATTACTGTGGTACTGGTAGTGCTCCAGATCTACATACTAATGCCAGTCCACATGGTTCAGGCCTGCTGTTGGGTAAACACGGAATAACACACAGGAGCCCCGGATGGAGGACAGCGAGCTCAGCTGAGTGTGGCCGGCTACCACTAACATCATTTCCAGGTTTACTGCTCGTGGAAGTCGAAAATATCTCGCCTTCCCGAAAAAAAGCACCACCGAGTGCTTGTGAAAGCGAGCTCCATTTCGTCCTTGCAAATAATTACTATCGACCATTGCACAGTACCGCAGAGCTACGCGCCATCACAATGGTATATTATTGCACTTGGAGGACGGGAAGAAACGAATGAAACGGCACGCTATTCGTAACGACGACTCGGAGGGCGTCGCTAGCGGTGCGAGCAGTCATTGCCACCGGCCGGCGGGCAAACAGTTGTTTGTGGCGACAGGAGCCAGGCAGGCAGCATCTCGCTCCCGAGGAACGCCACGCCGTCGAGGAAGCCCAGGGTCAATTCACGTCTTGAATTGGTAAGAGGATGCCTGATTGGATGGGTGGAATGAGAGCCGTAGAAATAATTTACAATTCGCTTGTCTTGCTGACCACATCACATACTACTGTACCATGCGAAAACAAACAACCCTGATGATAATTACCTGCCTGTACTGTAGGCGGTGTTGTATTTCTTGTCGTGATTCGCAGCCACGCATGCATGTCTTTTTAGCCCGAATGGTCGGCGAATCAGAAAAAAACCTTGTATACAGGTATCGACTCCATGAGGAGTCCAATCGAATAATGCGCTATCAGCTGATTGTCTCAGCTGTGTAAGCAGCCGTTATCACCAACGAGGTCAGCCATCACCATAATCATTCTGGGATAATTATTTTTATCTACTGTAGACTATGCCTCGGTACAGGTGCCTGAGGTGGTGGTAGTGACGATGGCAGTGGCCTGGCCTTGCAGTGGAATCTGCAGCCATGGCCGACTGGGTGCACGCAGGAATCTGCAGGCGCAGCGGAAGCACTTGCAGCCAGTGGCCTCCTAGATCCTGTGACACATGCACACCTCGGGCTGGTCCCATCTGCTTTACAGCTGTGCATTTCACGATGATCAATCACTGCCAGGTGGTGTTGTGTGGTGCCAGCATGCAGCAATATTCTAATTCATTACAATTATATGTTACGAGAGAAAGACTTGAGAGAAAGAGAGGAAGCTTGGTCACGACTCCGAGTTTCACATTAAGGCGCGCTTATCATGCAATACAGGCTATGCGGTTAGAGATTCTGTATGAAGTGGCACCGGAAGTACCAGTTTGTCTGATGCCATTCCACACAAGGCACGTGGGGCCACTTGCATAACCTCTTTTGGTAGCATGCGGAATCTGGACTCGTGTTACTGTTGCTGTGGAAGTGAGGGGTTGATGTAGCTAACCACTGCTGGGGATGCACAGTGGTGCACCGTGAATGCAGCAGCGGCCCCAGCAGTAGCAGCAACATGTGGAGTACAGTCAACTTCGTGTATAACGACACTCGGCGGGGCATCAGAAAAGTGTCGTTATTCACGAAGTATCGTTATGCCCGAAGTCTCATTAGGCCACACCAAGTTTTTTCATTGTTTCTCGTCACCGCGCGCGTACCTTTCTTGAGGATTGGACCAAAAAAAATCTCGCGTCCCGGTAAACACGCATAAAAAGGCGTAGTAAAAGTACGCGCGGCGTCAAATCTGGAGTGCAGTGCTAGTGCACGAACCGAAGGACGACTTTTGCACCGTGTATGTACGCATACCGGTAGTTCAAGTACCACACCACCACACGACCTGGTCGTCTTCTTTGCTACACACAGTTCCGGTACAAGTCAAGACAGTGCATGACAGTGCACCGTTTTGGACTGACAGTGTTCCGGGCATCGGTAAACTTGCGGCATTGCGGACTACAAGCACTGTGAAGTTGCCGTGATTCCTTGAGTTCTTTATCAGTTCATCTCGTCGTGGGCGACGATGGCATCTGAAATAGTCAGCTTCGCTGTGACTGTGGATAGCAGAGAGATACTTTCTTGGAACGCTCAACTTGTTGACTAAGGCTTGTCCTTCTCTCAAATTTTTGAAAAGCTGTTGTCTGCCGATAGTGGTGTATAGTCTGATTTTAGGTCATAAATTGGGCCTTTGTAGTGTAAATAGCAGTTTTTGTTTTTCAAACCCTATTTTGTTTTTTTTCCGCCCGCCCGCGTTCCTTTTGAGATTTTCAGGTGACGAGAAACAATGAAATAACTTGGTGTGGCCTTATATGTATTACAGTTGGATGGGACTTTGCTCTGGGCATGGAAATTCTGTCGTTATTAGCGAATTGTCGTTATATCCGCAGTCGTTATTAGCGAATTGTCGTTATATCCGCAGTCGTTATTAGCGAATTGTCGTTATATCCGCAGTCGTTATTAGCGAATTGTCGTTATATCCGCAGACGTTATCAGCGAATTGTCGTTATATCCGCAGTCGTTATTAGCGAATTGTCGTTATATCCGCAGTCGTTATTAGCGAATTGTCGTTATATCCGCAGTCGTTATTAGCGAATTGTCGTTATATCCGCAGACGTTATTAGCGAATTGTCGTTATATCCGCAGTCGTTATTAGCGAATTGTCGTTATATCCTCAGTCGTTATTAGCGAATTGTCGTTATATCCGCAGTCGTTATTAGCGAATTGTCGTTATATCCGCAGTCGTTATTAGCGAATTGTCGTTATATCCGCAGTCGTTATTAGAGAATTGTCGTTATATCCGCAGTCGTTATTAGCGAATTGTCGTTATATCCGCAGTCGTTATTAGCGAATTGTCGTTATAGCCGCAGTCGTTATTAGCGAATTGTCGTTATATCCGCAGTCGTTATTAGCGAATTGTCGTTATATCCGCAGTCGTTATTAGCGAATTGTCGTTATACCCGCAGTCGTTATTAGCGAATTGTCGTTATACCCGCAGTCGTTATTAGCGAATTGTCGTTATACCCGCAGTCGTTATTAGCGAATTGTCGTTATATCCGCAGTCGTTATTAGCGAATTGTCGTTATATCCGCAGTCGTTATTAGCGAATTGTCGTTATATCCGCAGTCGTTATTAGCGAATTGTCGTTATATCCTCAGTCGTTATTAGCGAATTGTCGTTATATCCGCAGTCGTTATTAGCGAATTGTCGTTATATCCGCAGTCGTTATTAGCGAATTGTCGTTATATCCGCAGTCGTTATTAGAGAATTGTCGTTATATCCGCAGTCGTTATTAGCGAATTGTCGTTATATCCGCAGTCGTTATTAGCGAATTGTCGTTATAGCCGCAGTCGTTATTAGCGAATTGTCGTTATATCCGCAGTCGTTATTAGCGAATTGTCGTTATATCCGCAGTCGTTATTAGCGAATTGTCGTTATATCCGCAGTCGTTATTAGCGAATTGTCGTTATATCCGCAGTCGTTATTAGCGAATTGTCCTTATATCCGCAGTCGTTATTAGCGAATTGTCGTTATATCCGCAGTCGTTATTAGCGAATTGTCATTATATCCGCAGTCGTTATTAGCGAATTTGTGTTATATCCGCAGTCGTTATTAGAGAATTGTCGTTATATCCGCAGTCGTTATTAGCGAATTGTCGTTATATCCGCAGTCGTTATTAGCGAATTGTCGTTATAGCCGCAGTCGTTATTAGCGAATTGTCGTTATATCCGCAGTCGTTATTAGCGAATTGTCGTTATATCCGCAGTCGTTATTAGCGAATTGTCGTTATACCCGCAGTCGTTATTAGCGAATTGTCGTTATACCCGCAGTCGTTATTAGCGAATTGTCGTTATATCCGCAGTCGTTATTAGCGAATTGTCGTTATATCCGCAGTCGTTATTAGCGAATTGTCGTTATATCCGCAGTCGTTATTAGCGAATTGTCGTTATATCCTCAGTCGTTATTAGCGAATTGTCGTTATATCCGCAGTCGTTATTAGCGAATTGTCGTTATATCCGCAGTCGTTATTAGCGAATTGTCGTTATATCCGCAGTCGGTATTAGCAACGTTGACTGTAGTAATAAAGCCTCTTGTGCAGGCAAAATGAATTGCACATAATTATCATCAAACAAATTCAGTAAACTACTTCGAAGTGTAAAAATCAATTCAAATACTAGTAAATCAATTGGAACACAACATAAAAAGGGAAAAAATCAGTTGGAGAGCAAAATACAGGTGGAATCCTGATAATTCGAACCTCCAAATGCCAGCAAAAAACTTCTTATTATCCGGACATTCTAATTATCCAAACATGAACCCACAACACAATATGTATGTCAAAATGCTCCCATGGTCACGCAGAGTTGCGCTATGGATCTTAGACACAGATTTCACGGATACTGAACTGACCAGCACAGCCTACTCATGCAAACTGAACTGACCAGTACAGTGTACAGTGAACTTCGAAATACACTTTGCTAACTTCGAATTATCAGCACAAATCCCACAGATTTTCTATGTAAGTTGAATCCGTGGAACTTCGAACTAATCGGACATGTCCGGTTCGAGGTTCGAATTATCAGAAAAATTTATGTGGGAATCGTATTGACAGAAATCGGTCCTGGAAAAACTTCTAATTAAGCGGTATGTTCGAATTAAGCCATATTCGAATTATCAGGATTCCACCTGTATAAGAAAGGAACATGTGGAGTATCAGCATCAGCAGCAGTGGCTCTGTTGTATCCACAAGACTGTATTTCCCCGGCATGCCACCACAAGACTGTATTTCCCCGGCATGCCACCACAAGACTGTATTTCCCCGGCATGCCACCACAAGACTGTATTTCCCCGGCATGCCACCACAAGACTGTATTTCCCCGGCATGCCACCACAAGACTGTATTTCCCCGGCATGCCACCACAAGACTGTATTTCCCCGGCATGCCACCACAAGACTGTATTTCCCCGGCATGCCACCACAAGACTGTATTTCCCCGGCATGCCACCACAAGACTGTATTTCCCCGGCATGCCACCACAAGACTGTATTTCCCCGGCATGCCACCACAAGACTGTATTTCCCCGACATGCCACCACGAGACTGTATTTCCCCGACATGCCACCGCGAGACTGTATTTCCCCGGCATACCACCACGGGACTGTATTTCCCAGGCGTGCCACCACTGCAGTGCGCCACCACCGTATTCTGTAGAGATGCACTTACTTTTCACAGCGCACACACGACGTCATCAGTGCAGTAATCAAAGTCATGGTCTGCTTACACAATGTAGGTGCAGGCTGTTGCCCAATGTGGAGTGTTGTGGATAACCGGGCCCAATGTGGAGTGTTGTGGATAACCGGGCCCAATGTGGAGTGTTGCGGATATCTGTTGCCCAATGTGGAGTGTTGCGGATAACCGGGCCCAATGTGGAGTGTTGTGGATAACCGGGCCCAATGGGGAGTGTTGCGGATATCTGTTGCCCAATGTGGAGTGTTGCGGATAACCGGGCCCAATGTAGAGTGTTGTGGATAACCGGGCCCAATGTGGAGTGTTGCGGATATCTGTTGCCCAATGTGGAGTGTTGCAGATAACCGGGCCCAATGTAGAGTGTTGCGGATAACCGGGCGCGGCAATGAAACTTCAATATAAAGACAAACAAACAACATAATATTAACTGGTTTGAGGGAAAAGACACAAACGGGAAAACAACATAATATTATACGAATTTCCCGGGGAGGCCCACCGGAACCGGTCCGGTTGGTCAGGTTAACACCGAACCAACTTTGTGGCGACCAATGCATTTGTCACTGCTGAGGAGGGCACATGTCCCCGCCATATTATACACAAAGTATGAAAGACTGGTAGGACCGGACCAATTGAAAACTGGTTCCGGCGGTCCTGCAGGGGACATGCACAAACATGTACTTATAGCCAGTGAACTGTACAATCTTCTACTATCTGGTATTGTGTGAGGCGGTGTCATAAAAAAAGAGTACTTTATATCCTGCTGAGATGGTAGCTACACCATAGCTCAGTGGTTAGAGCACCGCTGGCCTCAAGCAAAGATCTCTGGTTAGAGTCGTGGTCACGGTGACAGTCAATTTTTTCTTCTTCAGATTCTTCCCTTTTTCAGTCCCTCCGACATATGAATATAATTATATCCCATACACAAAGGCACGCAATGAAAACCTTGGGCAAATTCTGTTTTGACTCAGAGTTTCATGGCTGAACCAATAATCAGACAACGAAGCCATGGAACTCTGAGTCACAACGTAATTTGCCCAAGGTTTTCATTGTGTGCCTTTGTGTACGCCACTCTGCCTGAATCAGATATTGAGCACTTTCTCAGAACCTAAGCATACTGCCTCTGTGTATTATATCTCATAGTATGTTTTATCCAGGGCACAGTAATTTCAGGAGTATAAGCCACATCCAGTTGTTTTTGTCACGAAATACTGACATCTACCCGTAGAACACCATTCATTTGACCATCGTACAGCCTGGTGCTGGCAACTGAAATCCGACCCCCTGAGCGGTGCGCTCACATCGCAAAGACCCAACACGGGATGGTAAAACTACGAAACAGAGACCGCTAGAAAGTGAACCCACCGCTCAGGTGGTCGGATTTCAGTTGCCAGCACTGTAGTATAAGCCGCACTGACTTTTTGTTTTGTTTTTGGTGAATTGTAAGTTACAGTGTTACTCTGGAAACTACGGTACATTATGCCGAGTTAATTAATATATCCTGTACAAACTAACATGGCGGGTACGCATTGCATTCCTCTGTGTGTGTGTGCCGTCTTGTGTCATGTGACGCACATGCCACGCGTGCAGACAGATGGCGGAGAACGGCAGCGATAGCAGTGACACGGATGAGTTCATTCGCAGTGTCCGCCGCAGCAGCAGTGCAGCCAACGCCCTGGATGATGATTTCAGTGACAATGAGGATGATGGTGATGACAGCCTCGGTTCGGACCTGGACGATATCGTGCTGAGCGATCATGACAATGTGCTGTCGGGTGATGGTGGCACGGCATACTCACTGGCAGACGTCACTGACTACGCACCGCCTGGTGGTGTGGCGACTGCTGGCCGTAACACGGGTGCGTACGGCGATGCCACGCGTGCTGACAGCATCAGCGGCGTTGTGGCTGGTGCTGATGCTGGTGCGCATGTCGCTAGTGCTACAGGCAGTTTCCTGGATAGTGATGCTAGCCGCGGTGTGGATCGGTCACTGCTTGCCTACACTCTAGGTGAGTGGTGGACGGTGTTTTCATGCTCACTACGCTATGCACTGTGTTGCCATCAGAGGCTGTTAACACGCATGACTTGGCCATCACCATGAGGCTCAGGTCAACATCACGTTGGCTCAACTGAAAGTCCCAGACCCAATTAGTAGTAGTATTGAGGTACCGTGATTGTAGTAAATGCATAACACCCCGATTAACAGACCCTCATCACATGTCCTCCTTTTCTGTGTGACATGAAGGTGTTGATGAGCAACCAACGGCATCATCGTATCCCCTGACGACGGGTGCATCTGAAAGGTAAGGATGTGTGCATGCATGCCACTGAGACGGCTATCTCCATTACTAGTGTGTGTACAGTACTGTTGGGCGCCGAAGAACGGAGCGCCGAAGAACAACCAGGCAGAGAATTTCATCGAGCACAGCATACCCATGTATACACGTGACTCGACTGCGTATAGACTATAGTACATGACAATAAGAACGGTCTAGGTTAGGAGGTTAGGAGGTTAGGAGGTCAGGAGGTCAGGAGGTCAGGAGGTCAGGAGGTCAGGAGGTCAGGAGGCTAGGAGGCTAGGAGGCTAGGAGGTTAGGAGGCTAGGAGGTTAGGAGGTTAGGAGGCTCCAGTTCTTTGACGACCGACAGTACTGTGCAATAGAAGTAAAAGTAAAGTTTGCACATCCACGTTACAACCGACTATACAATTGCGTTGAGAAACACAACCAGCTTTAAAATAGGAAGTTTCACATGTGCCAGGCCACCACCATGCCTGTGATACCAGGGTGGCAGATGCAGCGCCTAACGGCGAGGGTGATGCTGTAGGTAACTCTCACAACCACATTAGCCTATAGCAATAGTCGTTCCATAACGGATTCCATAACGGATTCCATAACGGATTCACTGTATGCCTTTTTCCTATGCAAGATACTGTAAGCAGGATCCAGCCGATTGAAAACTTAACATGACGTTCATTCGGTTCAATTAGTTGCCACAATTCTGTGAGCAAATACCGAACAACAAGGGTAATCAAGAACAACAAGGGTAATCAAGAACAACAAGGGTAATCAAGAACAACAAGGGTAATCAAGAACAACAAGGGTAATCAAGAACAACAAGGGTAATCAAGAACAACAAGGGTAATCAAGAACAACAAGGGTAATCAAGAACAACAAGGGTAATCAAGAACAACAAGGGTAATCAAGAACAACAAGGGTAATCAAGAACAACAAGGGTAATCAAGAACAACAAGGGTAATCAAGAACAACAAGGGTAATCAAGAACAACAAGGGTAATCAAGAACAACAAGGGTAATCAAGAACAACAAGGGTAATCAAGAACAACAAGGGTAATCAAGAACAACAAGGGTAATCAAGAACAACAAGGGTAATCAAGAACAACAAGGGTAATCAAGGCGTGTTTGCTGCGGCTACTTTTAAACAGTTTCATGCTCTCACAATCCTCAGGCAACATGAGCAAAATTAATGTAATACGAGAGCGACAAGTTAAATGAGCCGGAGGAAGCACAAGTAGACATGCTTGATGTAAGGACACATGCTTGATGTAAGGACGCATGCTTGATGTAAGGACGCATGCTTGATGTAAGAACGCACATACCTGTACACTGGAATACATGTTACTTGCAGTGTAACTTTAATTTCGGTGATTTCGGTAGAGAAAACAAGCGAAAACAAGCACGTAAATTTAAATTACACCTAAAAGGCACTAGAGTAGGCACTGTATGTGATGGGAAAGCTGGTCACCTAATTCTACATTACACCTGAAACCTGGCACCGACATTTTAAAGCACCTAAAATTACATGTTTTACAGTACAAGTATCACCACTAGCATTGCTATCCTCCTTGCTGGTGATCGCAATCACCGCTCCACTGTACATTATGTGCCGTAAGGTCACGTATTACAGCCAGGCGTATTCCTGTAGAAGCCGATGTCATGGGTACTGGCTTCTATTCAAGTCAGGCTTCTATACAAATAAGGTGTTTCCGTGTATTTCAGCATTGAAACAAGGCTTATGTGCCAGCAGTGCATCTTATGTGCCAGCAGTACATCTTATGTGCCAGCAGTGCATCTTATGTGCCAGCAGTGCATCTTGAAAATCAGACTTGTATTTTACAAGAGGTTTCTATACGAGACATGCTTTAATACAAGTTAACATGATGTAATCACGATGGAACATTACAGTAACATGATGTAATCATGACATAACGCAACGTAAACATGACGTAAGCACGCATCATGCATGCATACCTTGATCATTGCTCTCAACTCCCTTCTGTGTTCTGACGGTTCATGCAGGATTGGCAAGCACTGGCCACATGATCCTGCTACAGCATTCCAGCATGGGACGGTTGATACGCACATGGCCGGTTTCGAGGAGCAATCGCCCCAAACGGCCAGCCGTGCAATGCACTCAAGCAGCCTGCAGCCATCCACATCTCCTCTATCACGATCATCAGTAGGGGTGGCCGGCGAGAAACATTCCGGTATTGATCTCGGGGACAGGTCTTTGCCAGCTATGCATATCACTAGTGACCGCCGGTCTGCACAACACCAATACCTTAGCTCAGCCTCTCAACCCGCAGACAGGAGAACAACACCACATCGTCGTTCCGACACTGCACCACCTCCACAACTTCTCCACTCAACGCCGCTTACAGGCACGACCGAGCCTCCGTCTGCGCTGACAACGGACCTATCATTACCCTCGACCATGGGCGATGACGCCGCCGATGATGCTTCATCGCAGGAGTTTGTCAGTCGCGTGTCCTTCCACGAGTCCTCACCCAGTCCGCGAGAGCGGCTGGAGAGGCTGAAGCAGGACGTACAGCAGCAGCAGCAGCGACGCACCCCTTCACCGTCCGCGTCAGCAGTAGCTGGCCACAACAGGCCCTACCAGCACAGTGCAATCCCAATCCCCGTGTCGGAACATGTCACAGTCCGCGACCGTACTCGCGCTGCTTGGCAGGCCACACCTGCCCGCACACCGCCATCGCTCAGCGACGCGCAGGAATCGTCTGTGTCGTCGCCACGACAATCCCACATCGCCGGCAGCAATGCAGGTGCGACCTCCCACGGCGGCTCCTTCCTACACCCGAATGATATCATAGTGATGTCATCGTCATTGTCATCGGCTGGGGCAAGTCCTGTGCATATGTCATCGCTGACAAGGTCTCCTGTACATGGAGAGACAGGTAAGCTGTGTGACATCATTTCACCCACCGTATTTCCTCGATTAATAGACCCGGTCTTTTGTTTTTTGAAGAGGGTTGGACCCCCGGTCTCTTATTTGGGCATGGTCCATTATTTGAGCACGGTCCACTATATTTTCATCGGCACATCGCTGGAAATGGTGGATTTTTAACACGTCATAGTAAAGAACTTAATGAAAGAAAACACTAGCCACTACAAAATAGTAGTTGCGCAACCTAAAATCGCGTCCTTTTTTGATCCACCACATGCTTTCTTAGTGCGCATGCGCAAAGCGATGAACTCAAATAAGAGACCGGGTCTCTTATTCAGGCATGGTCTACTATGTTTCCGTGAGGCCTCTAGGAGGGTCTACTATTTGAGCATGGTCCATTAATCGAGGAAATACGGTACTTAGTGCAGGAAATTTAGAAATGTGAATGGTGTTCTGGGTTTTGGACAGGATATACGCTCAAAACCCAGTTTTTGATTAAGTTTTGCGTTTGGCCCTGCAGCTCCACACATTAGGTGTTGATAAACCTGGCCGGATTTGAAAGACCTGATTGGAACGCTTACGTTCCCAATGGCATACTCCACAGTACGAAGAGCTTGAAAGAAGCAGTCCCGGCAGGCCAGCAACAAGAGAAGTTGTGCAGGGAAATTGGGATACGTTCGATCACGTCTGGTTCGGCAGAATGAGGTTGAAGACTCAACTGCAGCTGTATTTATCTTTTAAAATTAATAGGACGGTAGATACACGCCTGCCCACACACACGCTCTGTACGCTGCACAGTTACTCTGGCACAGAGCTCTCCTTCTCACCACCAACGTCGCCATATTGCCAGGTGTGTATTTACTATCATATTAATGAACATGTCTGGTTCATTGCATAAAAGGCATAACCGAAATTATTTCTGAATGGCCTATGGTCGTACATGTATATTTCTGTCCTTGCCTTTTCTGCATGCTAGGATGTGGTGTGATATGATCTGCACATACCATTGGTTGTGACATGAATGTATGACATACATTTTGGTTGGGCACATTGTGTGTGTGTGTGTGTGTGTGTGTGTGTGTGTATGTGTTTGTGTATTTGTGTGTTGCTTACCTACTCTTCTCAGTCCGTTCCAGCAGCACATCTTACTCAGTGCTGGTACACGATCAAGACGAGGGAATGGCCGCTTACGTCGGGTGAGTTCTGGGAGAATTGAGTAAGTGCCCACACTATAAAGCACAGCAAACTGTTGGCCCCTCAACACAGATGATCTCTCCTGATACCGGTTAAATGCATGCCAAATCAATGGCCAGTAGCCTGACAGGAACACACCAGACAATTACCTAGAGCCCCGGAGCTGTCCTCCGACAAATTTCCGAGCCGCCTGAACCGCAGGTCTTCGGCAACTGACTGTATATGTACTTTGTGTACGGTTACCAGGCCCGGAATCAGCTCCCGGTAAGGGATGGTACGGCCCAGGTTGGCTGCAAGATCGATTATCTGCCATGCCCAACATGCCCAAGTACGATAGAAGGATACATATCTAGCTCCAAGCTGCATCATGTCTGTTTGTTTCAGCTGCACATTCCTCTAGCAACATATATTACATGTCTGTTTGTTTCAGCTGCACATTCCTCTAGCAACATATATTATGTCAACTAGCGCAGTAGGCCTCACGGGACAAGAAGAACGGTTCAAGAGGGAGAGATTCCAGCAGCTAGGGGTGTACGGGAATAGCACAAAATAATGACCTGCTTTGATAGCAGTGACTCAGTAATAATTGTCTGCGAGCGTGCTTTGACTTTGGATTCTTCTATTCTTCTCTTCGGATAACGTTATTATGGATTTTTCAATAACGTTCTTTGACTAGCTGACTGTAAACAGATGAGAATACGATGCACACGATCACAGTACATGTACTGTACTTCCATGCAGATAATCAATTGCACTGATTGAGCAGCCCATGCACGTTGGAATTGGTGAACTGAGCTGGTACGGCCACGGCCGCACTAGCCGTAGCAGTTGCGCCGGCCCTGACTGTGTGGTGTGTGTATGTGTGTGCACGTGTGTGTGTGTGTGTGTGTGTGTGTGTGTGTGTGTGTGTGTGTGTGTGTCCCATATGGTGCAGTGGTATGTGCAGTCGATTTCCAATCGAGAGGTTGCGGGTTCAATTCCCGACGATTATGGTCGCACACGTCTTTCTTCTCTTTCTCGGACTCTTCCTGACTTTTCTTTCATTCTTCTGGGTGGTTACCAACAGCCAGTGTATGCCGGAGTATGTGGTGTGGTGTGTGTGTGTAGAAAAAAATGAAAAATGGAAAAATGAAAAATAGGGATTCACTGGCCAGAAAAAGTCACTTCAAACAGCTGTGTGGTGGATACCAGCTTAATAGTGGCGGTCAATTCATCAGCCTTGCAAGCTGTTGAATGGTGTAATCCCAGCACAAGTTGCTATGTCTAACATAGCTGTTCGCTATCATCGCTTCCGCGATGGGCATATCTGAGGTCTGAGGTGTGTGTGTGTGTGTGTGTGTGTGTGTGTGTGTGTATGCACGTGTGTGTGTGTGTGTGTATGTGTATGTGTGTGTGTGTATGTATGCATTGCTACAGGTCACCAAGCAGAGGAGAAGATAGCCAAGCCAGTCAGTACAGTGAGAGTGAGTACAGTCAGTACCAATTGAATGGATATCAATTTTTTCAATCAAACATTTTTTTCTGTCAAGCGCACTCCTCACGTACTGGTTCTCTAGTGTCCAAGATCTTCTTGGTTCTGTCAGGTTAATTCTTATGTCCAAGTTCTGGTTTGTTCGGTCAGGTTACTTTTGTGTCCAAGTTCTACTTCAGCGGCGGATTTAGCGATCTCTACAGGGGGGGGGGGGGGTTCCAGTATAGTCAGAACTGAATAGCTGGCACCTGTACATGGACACGCATATGGTTGCCAGTAGTGCGTTTACGAAATTTAGGGGGTTGCGTGGAACCCCTGGAACCCCTCCTGGATCCGCCCCTGTACTTGGTCAGTTTACCAGGTTCACATTCTGCTTGGTTTTATCAGCTAACAGCTGTATCAGGTTATTCACGGTTCTGTTGGGTTGTTCTTAGTGTGTTAGTTCTCAGCGGCTTGGTTCTATGTGGTGATATCACATTACACTCAAACCTCTTTAGGACGAACACCAAGGGACGGATGATATTTGTTCGCAATAACGGGAGTTCTTGTTATCCGTATGTTATACCCAGTGAATACACGGTGATTTATCCAATGGAGTTACGAATACTAGTTCTTCTTAAGCAAACGCTTGTCTTATCAGTGTTCTTATCAGTGTGTTCTTCCTAACCAGGTGTCAATGTATGTGTGTGACTGTTGTGTATTACCTCACGTGCGGCGCAGGTATGGACACATCCGGTGGATACAGCTACGCCAAGATCGGTAAGGCCACACATGCCGAGCTGTACACGCTCACAACATGCTGCAGTGGAGGCCACACATGCCGAGCTGTACACGCTCACAACATGCTGCAGTGGAGGCCACACATGAGCTGTACACCCCATGCAACATGCTACAGTGGTGCTATCAGCAGCGCACTACACTCTACAGGAACTGGTAGCAGACATACATGTCACATGTTCCACTGTGACCTGGCATGCACTCACAGTGCTGATGGTGTGCGTAGACCATCACGGCTGCCACAACTTTGTCTTGTACGGCAGTGCTGGGAACATCAACAGAACGATAATGGGAGAGAGAGAGAGAGAGAGAGAGAGAGAGAGAGAGAGAGAGAGAGAGAGAGAGAGAGAGAGAGAGAGAGAGAGAGAGCGAGAGCGAGAGAGAGAGAGAGCGAGCAAGCGAGAGAGAGAGAGAGAGAGAGAGAGAGAGAGAGAGAGAGAGAGAGAGAGAGAGAGAGAGAGAGAGAGAGAGAGAGAGAGAGAGAGAGACAGAAGAGAGAGAGAGAGAAGAGAGAGAGAGAGACAGAAGAGAGAGAGAGAGAGAGAGAGAGAGAGAGAGAGAGAGAGAAAGTTATCGTATGCTAGTGAAGTACTGAAGTCAGTATTGCTATGGTTTGCAGGGAGTTTCCTTCGTTGGTTTTTCTGCACATGGGCTGACTTGCACAAGTATTTATTCCTTTGCCATTACGAAGTCTGAAGAAAATGTTGAACGGTCTGTGCTGGGATGACGGCTACACCATAGCTCAGTGGTTAGAGCATCGCTGACTACAAGCAAAGGTTCGAATCCTGACGGTGACAGTCACTTTTTTCTTCAGACTTTTCCCTTTTGTGTCTTTCCCGAATAAACCAGTGAATCCTTTGCCATGGTTACTAAATCAGCTTACCGTGGTTACGGTGGAGTGATGGAGGTGTGTGTGTGTGTTTGTGTGTGTGTGTGTGTGTGTGTGTGTGTGTGTGTGTGTGTGTGTGTGTGTGCATGCATGCGTGTGTGCGCATGTGAATGTATGTTCTACAGAGGCGGTAGACAGGCTAGCACCACAAACGGAGCGGCAAAGTCGGTAAGCTGCTGCACTGTACTGCGTTGCATATGTATAGCAGTGAACTGAGACCTCTCAACAATAGAAGCTTGGCGGGAAAACAAATGTATTTGTGTAGGGCATAGTGTGTATAATTCACACTATCCCCTGGACGTTTAAGTTGGTTTCCCTGCCTAGCTTCTATTGTTGATGCGTCTTTACCTGATGTCTGCCTCATGAAAGTCTGTAAGGAAAATTATAAAATATTAGTCTTAGAGTATATATTTCCAAAGTGTGCCAAGTGTTCTGCGGCTAGCTTGGACAGTGGTGCATGCAAATACTTGGGCAACAGAGAGAAAAAAGAGCATATTGAGTTGGGCATGGCGCTTGTTGTGAATAGGTAACTGCTGCTACTCCTGCAGTGTGAGTAGGTTACTGCTGCTACTCCTGCAGTGTGAGTTCGCTGTGTGTTCCCTTGCTCTCAACTTGACACTCCACAGTGCATGGCAGCTTCTTCCATTCCTTAGCAGCACTAGCAGAGCAGAGCAACAGCACCACCAGCAGAGGTAGCAGCAGCAGTAACAACAGCAGCAGTAACAGCAGCAGCAGCAGCAGCATGTGCTGAATAGCAAATGAGATCGTCCGACTCATCCTTGCCACCTTCCTCTTGTGTCTGTGTGCGCAGGCACGATCTGCCGTTTCGGCATCATCGCCATGATTACCGTCACCATGGCAAAGCTGGCAGTGACGGTCGCATTGATGATGTCGGCGCACGTCCGGACACAGGACGACGGTGGGGCGGATGTTCGGACTCCTTTGCAACTGCTGGTGCTGCTGCTGTCACCACAGCTGTCACTGACCCGTTACCACGCCGATTCCCCAGGCACGGACCACAGTATGACGTCATCAGCAGTCACATGACACAAAGCAGGTCACATGATGATGATGATGACGACGATGATGATTCATTAGAACTGACCTTTGGTAACCGGCCCGCTGTTACGGTGGTGTCCAATGTACTGTCCCTACCCTATCGCTCGCCCCAGGCTGTTCGGTCTGTGGGCTTCTCCACGGCATCAGTAGGCGCCGTGGCCACCACCACGTCACTACCAGCTAGCACACAACCAGTAGCCATTGGAACAGACCAGAATCATACTGATAAGGCATGCATATATGTGGAAGATGGGCGAAGACGCTCACCCCGTGCAAACGCCGATCATCATCAGTGGGTCCCGACCGAGCAGGACATCCGACACAGCGTCGCCTCGGTGCTCGAGCGAGTTCGATCTCGCTCTCACAGCCCCGCCGCTAAAGACTCCCTCTCCTCCGCGTCCTCGTCCCTGGCAGACATGAGCAGTAAAGCGGCCATCCAGAGGCGGCACGTGTCGGCCAGACAGCTCTCCGTGGCCCGTCAGAAGTACGCGCTGACTTCGAAGAGCGAGTCAACGCTGGCACAGCTCGTGTCGTCGCAGCAGGCCAGCAGACTGCGACCGTCCCTACTCCCGTCCAGCTCGTCGCAGCCGTCGCTCAGCTCCGATTGGTCGTCGCAGGAGCGCGAGGAGTTTGGCGGCGGCGGTTTGAGCAGCGGCTACGCGTCCACCGAGCACCCGTGGGCAACTCCCACACCACCGCCGGTTACCACGCCAACAGGGTATACACGAAAACTGACGCGGTTATCGCCTCTGGCGGCAATCGAGCAGGAGTCACTCTCGCCGCTAGCCCCATCGCCAGAGCCAGGAAGCAGCCAGGCGGACAGAGTGAACACTGCTTGCTCACCAGGAGTAGCTCCGGCGGCATCGCTGGCTCATCAAGACGACATGCTAGCTTCGGTGGAGATGGTGGGTTATGATGACAGTGGGTACACGGGAGCGCGAGATGGTCAACAGGTGAACCATACTACTGCTGGAGTGTCACCTGTTTCCGACATGCAGATTTCAACCAGTGATATGGCCAATACTGATATGCCTGACACTAGCGACGAAAACACAACACAGCGACTGCAAAGCCGGTCAGCAGGACTGCAGCTTGATATGCCAGTTGATAGTGTACCAGTTGCTCACCATTCCCTTACACCCACCTCAGCTGATGGTGTTCTCATATCACCACTGGCAATGCTAGCCACATCCACACCCAGCCCCAGAGGCATGCAGAAACGCCTGGAGCCTACACCACTCGAACAGCCAGGCGTATCGCCAATAGCAGCGCGGGGAAGCTTCTCCGCGGCGGGAATACGGGGCCTCTTCGGCAGTGAGGAAAGCGAGGAAGAAAGGGAGCCATCGCCGGCAGCCAGTAGAAAGCCTCCATCCCTTCGTCGATCCTCAGGCAGCTCTAGGTTTCTTACAGTTGCCGTCAAGTACCTGTCTGAGGATGACACTAGCTCAGAGGATGATACTCAGCACATGCCTGTGGTGATTCGCAGCAGGGGCACTGCAAGCCCCAACACCACTGGCACTGCCGGTGGAGCACATCAACCGGCCATGCCCGTCAGCCCGTGCTCCAAGTGTGTTCCGCTGCTACCACCGCCGCAGCAGCTCTCGCCATCTCTGCTGCACACTGCGCTGCAGACAACAGTTGTTCCAGAGCAGCTGGAACAACCGCCATCACCTTCCTCTCCCGTGCAGCATCACTCTCCGAGTGATACACCCGTGCTTACGGTGCAGTCGTTTTCCTACAATACCGATTCCGATGGTGAGCGGAAACAGAGTGCTTTTGTTGCAGTACCAGCTGAGGATGTGGTGGCACCAGAGGAGCAGTACGATCATGAGTTCATTGAAAAGAGCGGCAAAGAAAGCACGAGCAAAGCGGCGAGAATCTGCCGCCGAGACAGTCTGAGTGACAGCAGCGACAGTGAATTTGAGTATGACAATCAGATGACGATTGCCGAGGCGCACCAGAGCATGCAGCGGATCAAGTCCCACGAACCTAGCATGCAGACCAAGTCTCCACCCTTGCCAGCTCTGCCACTAGGGTCTAGCACAATGCCGTCAGTGTATCACCAACACGAGCAGCAGGTAACTGGACTGGATGCGACCGAGAGGCCAGAGGTGACACAACCTTTGCACGATGATGCTTACCTGAGCGACGAATCAAGCGACAATGAAGTTGCAACAAAGCGCGATCGTTTAAAGTCTGTTCCGCAATTGCGCAACAGGAGGCAATCGCTGGAGGGAATGGTGCTTGATCCCGATATGGACACAAGTCTTCTGTTCTCGCCGATTTCAACGTTTACTGCCCTACGCCAGTCACATTCAACTGAATCTAACCTCTCCAGGGCCAGCGAAGGCAGTGCGGGCAGCCAGGAACATGCCCCGGCAGTAGCGCCTGATCGCGCTACTGTATTTCAGTTTAACGACCACGCCGTGCGCGATCATCCATCACCAGCAGCTGAACAACAAGCAGCAGAGCCACAGTGGCAAGTGTCTGCTGGTAGCTCCGGGACTCGGGCGCCATTGAAGGTAGTCTGTCACGATGACTTACCCGCCGAGGAGGAGAGCGAGGAGCATGACGATGACATTGTTCCATCGCTCCCCAACCCAATGGAATGGAGGAGGAAAATCTCGCCCGCCGAACAGCACCGCATTTTCCGCAGACTGTCGTCGCCGGAAGATCCATCAGAGCGCCTCTACCAATACGACCTGGGTGGTCAGAGCGTCACATCGGAGCAAACCAGCGCAACCTGGAATAGCAGTCAGGGATCGGATCGATTCGTCCGCCCCACCGCCTTCTCCACGCCGAGCTCGCTGATGGGCAGTCCGACGCATGGCCGACGACTGCCGCCGCAAGCAGCCGGCCTGACTCGTCAGCAGAGCACACCAGCACACTCCCTGACACGTGACGTGCACACCGAGCAAAAGCTGCGGCGTATCAGTGACCCGAGTTCCCTGGGTCCAGTTCACCCGCAGCAGTCACTGCGGCCTGTTTTCGTAGCCGGCGGTTTCACATCTCCCGCCGGTTCCGGATCAGATTTACGCCGCAGCTCCATGGCACCTAGTGCTCCTGCGCCATTTGTCGATGATGTATTCACCGCGTCTCCTGCTGATAACAACATTGCTAGTGAGGCGGCGAGGAAACTCTCTGGCAATCGTGTCCACAAGGCTAGCTTCACATCGACCAGTCTTCCGAGGCGGTTACCGTCTAATGATAGGGGGGATGGGGATACCGATGCACCGCCAGCCATGCCGGCACCAGAGCTGGACAGCAGAGTACGCAGTGTGCTCAGCTCTCACTTTAAGAGCCACGCGCCCGGTTTCGTCCCGCTGCGGGCGCAGATGGACAAGCTGAACCAGCTGCACAGCCAGCCGAGTCGCCGCACGTCGGAGCCAGTGTCACCTGGACCTGTGCCGCGAGCAGCCCAGCACCTGCATGATTACTGCAAGTCTGAAGACCTCATGCGTGATGAGGTAGCTAGCACAGCTGCACAATTAGCCCCAGCACCAGCAACGACAGCAATACCAATGGCACCGTATTCATATTGGAGCAAGAGAAATGTTCACACCGAGGACATGACCCAGATAGCCGATGCCCTGGATCACGTAGCTGCAGCTGAGGAGGAGGAGGAGAGCCAGTTACCTTGGTCCAAGCAGTCGGCAGAGGAGAAACGCAGCAGCTTCTCCAGAAGCAAAACGCACAGCGATGCGTTCAGCACTGGTTTTGATAGAAGCGGTGCCGAAGTCCACGCCGGTGAGAATGAGGATCGTAATGCTGATGACGATGGTGATCGAAGAAAGGACCCGCACAGGACAAGTGACAAACTGTCGGCATTGCGACGCCAATCAAAGAATTCTATACCCATCAATGCTAGCGGCGATGGTGACGATGAAAACGAAGATGATGATGATGTCATCATCTTGCCGGCAATAACCCGGGAGCATTCGAAACATGGTTCGGTTACCGTGCCAACATTGGGGGAGCATTCGAAACGTGGTTCGATTACCGTGCCACCTCCGGGTGAACGCGGGCAATCACGGAAACCCAGCCTTCTTGTTGAGCAGCTGGCCTTGGGAGACAGCAGCCAGAACCTTTTGGGAGAAGGCACAGAGCGGCCGATTCTTAGGCGACGTAGCTCATGTTCCAGCCTGCCGGATGGAGTTGATCGGCCGAAGATCACACGCCGTTTGTCCTTGACATCGCTGAACACTGAGGAGAAGGAGAGGATGGAGGAAGCTGGAGCCACGCTGCATTTCCTGTTCGATGACAGCCTGACGGCCATGCAGAATGCTGGCTCTGCTAACCGCCTACATCACCTGCTTTCCCCAAGACTCAGCAAGCAACTGCATCAATCCAAACCACGAGTTGCTCTGCCGCCGGCACCATTGGCAGCTCCCACTACTGCACCATCTAGCCAGAAGACAAGCCAACGGCAAGGCAAACCGCCGGACCCCACCAGCAAGAAGCGAGTGACGCTTGTTCGGCCGCCAGCCGTTGAAGTAACTGACAGTGGCATCTCTCCACCGGCGTATAATCGTGGTCGAAGCTTGCCCAGCACGTTGGACGGCACTGGGAGACGGAATCGAGTCCTGGCACGCTGTTCTACGCTGCCTGCCAAGCCACACGGGAACAGTATTTACCAGCGGACCACTGCCGGTCTTCCACCGTACTTGAAACCGCAGACGCCTGACGACATTTTGCACAACCTGGGCTTCTCCGGTCACTGGGAGGACACGGTACCGGTGCTGCCTATGCGGTACTTGCCCGACGAAGTGATGTATCGCCTGAAAGGCATGCGACAGGAGGGTGAGGAGATGCTCATCATGGTGGGCGAGATGTCTGACCGGCTGGAGGGCGTGCCCATATGCTTCAAGGCCCAGGTGGTGAGCCATGCGCGCGTGTCCCGCGACATGCGACTGTACGTGACCAACGTCAGCAATCAGTTCCAGGTGCTGCAGACGCAGCGAGCCACACTGAAGCGAAGCCGCACCGCAGTGTCACCATCGATAACCACCATGGACTTGCTGTTCGGGGATCTGGGCACGCTGTCTCGCAACCACAGTATGATGAGCCAGATGTTGGATGAGATGTCGGATGGAGACAGCGAGTACCTGATGTCGACCGACGAGGAAGACTCTGACCAACAGTCCAGCAGCAGCAGCAGCAGCAGTAGCAGTGGTGAGGGCGATGACCCAGTGCATCGACGTGAAAGCAAGCGATTCTTTGCTCACCGAATGGTGGCTGCCCAGAAGCCCTCATCCGTATCAACATGCGCTCTTGTTGATGACGAGCCAGAAGAGTTTGCCAAGGTAGTCACCCCGAGCAGCGCCGTCGAACAACCGTTATCGAAAACACCGCTCCGCAAAGCACGACCAGTGCACCGTCTGCAGTCACTGGCTGAGATATCGTGCGAGAGTGCAGACAGCAAGGATAGTGATGGTCAGCCAGATCAGGCACTGAAGCGAATACAAGAACACCACCGCCAGCAGCAACAGCAACAGCAGGAGCAGAAGCAGCACCAGCAACTGCAACATCAGCAGCAGCAGCAGCACCAGCAGCCGCAGCAGCAGCAGCAGCACCACTACCACCACCAGCAGCAGCAGCAGCAGCACCAGCAGCAGCATAGCCTTCATCAGCGAACGGTGGCTGCTAGCTCTGATCCTGATGTCAGTCTGACTTTGGCCGATGTTATGCACCCTCCACTGCTTTTCAGTCCCTTGCACAATGCTGCAGTGTGGGATCCACAGCAGCCACCACAGCAGCAGAGAAGGCTGGATTTCATCAGATCCCATTCCTTGTCTTCATCAAGACCGTCTGATTCTAGAGACTTGAGCGGCAATACGGAAAGCATTGTCGTCACTGCAGACCTACCTGGCTCTACGCGCAACAGCCAGACGTCCTGGCAACGAAACCAAGCATCCGCAGAATTAACTGGTCCTGGTTTGCGACATGCCTCCGCCACCGTTACGAGCTGTGACAGAGACGGCGGGGAGTATGATGATGGTGAGCAAGAGAAGGAGGCAGCGGCACTGCGGTTGCCCACACACCCCGACCCCGTACACGCGGGGCATGATGCAGCCAGTAGCAAGCTGGGAGCAAACAGCGATGATCTACCAGCCGGTGCTGTAATCAATATTGTCGGCCCACCTTCCCCTGACGACCCACGGGGTCAAGTGTCGGCATTGATGCCCCCACCAGATGACGTACAGCGTTCAAAATCGCTGGACCGTGTTTGGAATCACTCTGCATCATCACCCCCTGTTGGCAGTGGCGGCGGTGTTTGGAATCACTCTGCATCATCACCCCCTGTTGGCAGTGGCAGTGGCGGTGGCAGCAGCAGCAACACCGCTGGCGGTACTTACCTGCAACCTTCAAGCACCGTTGATCGTTCGTTCGAGAGCCTCTCCCGCACGCCGTCCAACGAGAGTAGCAGCGCCGAGCGCGGCACCCAGCTGCTACAGATCGTCTACTTGAACTCTGCGTCTGCCGCCTCCAGAAAGAGTTCCAGCTCTTCCAGCACCAGCTGTGCGTGTCAGCCCAGTCCTCTCCCATCGCCGAAGACCTCGCTTGCACCTGCTAAAACCGTTGCAAATCAAGGCGGGCTGGTGGTACAGGCGGCCGAGACGCCAGCGTCGATAGAGATCCGCATTCAGCGTGCAAGTCCCACGCAAGATCTGCTGGTCAGTGAGACCCACTGGAAGAGTAGCAGTGATAGCGACATCATCGATGAAGAGTCATCGGATTACGACACGTCGTCATACTCTAGTAGCAGCAGTGGCAGTGGCAGTGATAATGATGATGACGACGATGGTGGTGACAGCAGTGAGGACGGATCTGTCAGTCAGAACGAGGGTGATGAGGAGCACTCCAAGTCTGATGAAACGAATACTGTATTGCCACGTGATGTGCCTGAACCAACTGCGAGTACTGCAGAAAATGCACACATGTCTATTGAACCGCGCAAACAGCATGTGCAGACGGACACCTGCTTGTCACCAGATACGGAGCGGACTCCGTTCCCCCGTGAATATGTCGACGGTGGTATGGCTGAAGCGTCAGCATCCATGCTAGTATCTCCGCAGCAGCAAGCACTACCCCCAGCACCACACTTAGACCGGGTGGTGGACAGTGGTGACAGTGTCGGCGGCGGTAGCAATGAAGAGGAGAGCGATTACGATGAAGTTCTTCCACCGGATTGGCTACAGTACAAGCCCGGGGAAATCCCTAAAATTCCCCGTAGCTCTCTAGAATATATTAGCAGTAGCGACAGTGATACCAATGATGCAGGCCTGGCTGCCACAGCTGGCCAACACCACGGCGGAAGCGTACCGGGTGTGAAGCATGGCCCAACGCAAGCGTATCAGTCGTTTGGCCGGCGCATTCACTCCACCCGGCCCACCGCCATACGCACTCGTACGCCCTCGCTGAGCGACATCAATGTCAACGTGGGCCTGGGCAGTCTGGTGGTGACGGAGCCCGAGCAACCACGGGACGAGCACCACCACCAGTGGTCCAGACAGTACCCTGCACTCAGTTTTGACAGCAACGATCCACCGGCTGTGGACGTGCTGCAACAGCTGCATTCCAGCCTTGTTGCCGATCCACACCAGCATGATTCCGTGGATTCAGACACAGCCGGCAGAGATAAGAATCAGCCACTCTCACCGGACACCCACGGCAGCAGCCTACTATCACCACCAACAGTGACGGTGGGGCAAGGAGTAGGCGGCCGCAAAATAAGTGCTTACGAGGCGCCAGTTGGAGTCTCGGAGCAGCAGCTTCGACCCGTCATGCACCATCATCGTGCTGTGTCACCGCAGCATCGCGCCGTTCTGCATCCGGGATTTGCTAGTTGTGAAGACAGTGACGATAGTCATTATCTGAGTTGTCGCTCAAGGTATGCTAGGGTTTGGCACTCAAGGTATGCTATGGTTTGACAAGTGAGACTGTCATGGAACAAAGGGGTAGGCCGGTAGTAGCCTAGCAGTGTTGAAACCAGCGTATCTATTACAAACGAGCGATCAGTTCCACTAACGAGCAAGCTATCGAGCGAGCTAACGAGTTTCATTAATGTGGCAAATAATGATTTAAAAATTTTTTTTCCTAAGTTCGATTTTTTTTCAATTCAGCTGGTCCAAATAAATTATCACCGCCAGCGTTTGGGGATGCTGCTGCTTCACTTAGGACTGCTGTTTGGTGTCGATATGTCTTTTCAGCGCCATTGTTGAGCAGCCTTTGTAAGAATAGACCGTTTTTGCAAACACTGTAGCCCTGTTCTTCGCTGCATCGCGGGAGAAAACTTCCAAACGTAACTTTCACTCGAATGGAGAGTTGACAGAAGTTTGCCCTGCAGTAGGTCAGCAGATGCGGGACAAGACATCAGTGGAGTCCACCAAAGCTGCAACGACAACTGAAACAACTCAGGGCCGTGCAGGCGGCATGCAGTCACTATAACTGCAAGTGATTTTCACTTTGCGCGGGACTGGACTCTCGATCGACCAGGGAGTCGTAAAAAAATTTCCGACTCCCCGCTCGACTTGTACTGCCATGTGTACGGAGTACGGTGTACGGTGTTCTTTATTGCAAACGAGCCGAGTTTCTGGCGAGTGAGCTAACGAGTACCCGGTGAGTGAGCTAACGAGTACCCGGTGAGTGAGCTAACGAGTACCCGGTGAGATCGTTTCAACACTACTAGTAGGGTATGGAGTGGCTCTCTGACGGGTGTACACCGTGTCTGGTTATCGTTGTGCTGGCGATGTGTGTGTGTGTGTGTGTGTGTGTGTGTGTGTGTGTGTGTGTGTGTGCGCGTGTGCATGTGTGTGTGGTAGCTCCATTCACGAGACACTCTTTGAACATGTCCTTGTCCGCCGGGGATCATTAAAACAGACTACAGTAGTGGCGGCGTGTGCTGAAGAACGACCAGCAGGCTAGAATTTCACCCAACCCAGCATACCCGCAATGCATACACGGTGACTCAACTGTGCATAGACTGTAGTACATGAAAATACCGTATTTCCACGCGTATAAAGCCATGGCGTCATATGCGAATATAAGGCCACCCTCACTTATAAAGCCATGACGTTATAAGTGAACAAAAGTCAATGCGGAGGAAATTGCATCTGGCGTTAAAAGTCAGTTCAGTTCAGTGAACGTACAGTAGCGGTGATTCTCTCTGCATGTACCCATCCCCACTGTCACATGCCACCTTGTACACAATCGGTTCACAATTTGACATTTTCAGGGAAAATTGAAAGTACATGAATGCTCGACATGAACGTGCAACGGCACCGTACGAGTACTCAAAGTTCATACTCTGCCGATTTTTGCATGTACGCGACTCTCACTTTTAGCGCC